CTATTTTAAATTTACTCACCCTGTACAAGTTAGTACTTGTAAAACCTAACGGAGATCAGTAATGAAAGGTGACAGTCTTGAATGCAGAAAGCAAACAGGATAACGATATGCAAATCATCTGGGTACACAGAGACAAGTCTAATTGTTGGTCCATTAGACACTGGATTTCAAAAATACCCAGCTCAAGCAGAAAGTCACTATGACCCATTAAGGTCCTTAAAAAATTGTAGATGCTGGAAACAAGAAGAGCTGTGCTACTCTGCTCAACACTAACTTCTTAAATGAAAAAAACCCACAACCAACCAAACAAAAACCCCACATGAAATTTGGTGAAATTCAGCATGAAGAGAGCACCAAAGGAAGTTTCATTTTTAAGAGTTGACTGACGATGTGATTTATGTGTGCTCTGCTGACGTGTTGTCCCTTGGCTGACTTATGGAACTACAGCAAGGAACCTTAGACCTAAAGCAAGAATCCTTAGAGACAGACTTAAGAAACCACAAGTTTGCCAAGATCTGCAAATTATTCCTATTATCCACCATGGAAGCTGGCAGAACTCACAAGGTAGGGAATCATATGTAGGCTACGAGCCTGTCCATGTTGCCCAGAACGAACGTGCTAGACACTGAGACACTGAAGTCTAGCTCTTAGCCATACAGTTCTGCGGACAGTATTATTCTTTAGGTCTCTGAATGTGACGGTAAGATAGATGCCAGCCTGCTCCTAAAACTGGCTTTGAGATATCACTGGATGCATAATTGCAAAACTTAGGGATTGCATGAAGCATGGCCTTTTAAGTGAAAGCTGAGCTCCCCTTGCTTAGTATGCTTTGAAAACTCATCTGTCAAGATAGGGCATCCCTTGATCATTTATTAAAAAAAAAACAAGACCCAACAAAAAAAAATCACCCCCATCCCCCAAACTACCACCACCACCAAAGAAGCCCATCTCTCACCTTCCATGTTGAAAGTCTTGTATTAAAATGAGGTTTAAGAAGTTACCATATTGCAAACAGCTAGCAATGGTGGAAAACGCTGCAAAGGACTATGGGCAAGGTAAAAAGCAATGCGAAAACTTGCTGGCTTTCAACTCTTGTCCTACAGCAATTAGAAATGGCAAGAAGGGAAGGAAGGAAAGGTGACATACAAAATGTTCAAAATTGCCTCTACACAGTCCTGTGTTTTCCTGTGTAGGAATGCTCTACACAGGCACCATGTAATCACATAGTTGTCCATGGAAGGACAAGAGAAAGGTTTCTCCACTAAGCAAAGAACAGTATGAAAGTAAGTCAACAGGTCTTAAAAGCAACAGGATTCAGTTTCTGATGTATCTGTTCTTAGTACAAATACATATCACATTCTTTTGCTATTGTTTTAAACACAGACCCCATGCTGATAGTCTTTTAAGTAACCAGCTAATTAGACCTGAAGCCCAATAGATCTCTTACACAAGTACCTATGGCATCAATGTTAATATTTAATAAGGTTGGCATTATTATTACAGTAATTATAAAGTGAATTAACAGCACTAAACCTGTTATTTGAAAGCGTATACTGATCTTTTTCCATGTTCTCCTTAACTTAAAAGGACTGACTTTCAGCATAGCACCACAGAACGAAGCACAGATCCCCTGGTTCACATGTTTGTTATTCCCAATTTGGAGTGCGGGGTACAGCTCACAGAGAAAACAGACTATAACCCATCTGTTGAGGTAGAGAACAGATTTAGCAAGACAAATGCGGGAGCTGAGCAAGTAAAATCTCAGTCATGCTAGCAATTACCCTACTTACTTTGCAGTTCCCATGATCAGCTGGCAGGTCTGCTCCCTGTAACAACCAGGAATTGTGGCATTTCTTGCTGGCAGTTGCAGTTTTTTAACTCTGCAGCTCAAGCAAATTCATTCTTTTTTGTACATCCCCCTACGTCGTAGCCAGGGACATGTGCCAGGCAGTCTGCTGGAGGCTTCCCTGGAACCTTCCTCCCAGTCTTTTATCTTTTTTCTGGGAGAGGTCTAATTAGCTTGATCTTTCACCTGACCCACGAGGGCTTTGCTAAATTCATCCAGTCTATGATTAGGCAAAATACAGCATCAAGGGGTTACCTATCGAGTATTCTTATTTCATGCTTTAATAGACATAGTATCTCTGCCACTTCTCCATTCTATATACAAGTCACCTATGCGTAACAATAGATTGATCCTGGCAAAGGCTCACTATACTAATGAGACTACAGGCCCACTGAATACAAATAAAGCATGCAGTCAACTTGGACAAATTCAAGATGGTAAGTACAGGATGTTAGTATAATTCTGTATGCATCTTTAGGTATATTTTCTCTGGATATGAGATTTAAAACACAAGTGTTGTAAATTAAAATCTCCTTCCTTGATTTCCATCTGCCATAAGTGAATCTCAGCTGAGATTATGAGAAAGGTATATATTAGAAAGTTAAAAATAAGTCACTGATTTCTTCTATACTGGACAGAAATAGTGAATAATGCTTGAAAGATTATTTCATAACTGCAGCTCCACTCACTGCTATTCAATTGTGCACTATTCAGTACCTCTATCAGAGAGTCACAGGCGGTAAATCAGTATATTTTAGTAATTTCTGAGGGTTAAGATAGAAAAGGCATTTTTTAGTTTGGAGAATTTGGTATTTTTTTGTATTGTATTATCATTGTATTAGCTTTTAGTGAATAGAAATCAAAGCCTTTATACATGCATGTATATATACGTATACACAAAAAGGCCACATTCTGTAAGAACATAAAGATTCTCAAACAGATCTTGACTTTTTCTACAGCACTTCTCCCCACTAGCATCAAGCATGATTTTAACTTTATAGCTGATATAATGACTTTGATAGACCTATTCAAATAGATTTCTAGTCAAATCAACTCAAAGACCAAAGGAATGATAATGGTAATTTCTCCTAGTTTCCAGTATATCAACCACAGTATTATCTATAACATTTCCTGCACTGAACCCAAAACCTCACTTCCTATCTTGATTTCAAGTAATGAGAAATCCACAGCTACTTATGTGACAAACCCAGATATTCCCATTCAGCAGACTAGGCAGATAACTTCATTTATCCAGATATTTTCATCCTTATCTGGATGTATTATTGCAGCTCTTGCTGCAACTTTTAACTTTCCAGTAATTAAAATCTAGTCCTCTATATTACAAGTTCTCTTCTGTTGATATGAGTGTGTTATTTTAAACTACAAGAACTCATTATCAAACTATCAGGGTGATCTACTTTGTTTGGCAAGGGAAACATCAGCTTTCTTTGCTGGCTGCTTGCCACCATAATACTATTTCCAACGTGCAGCTTTCACTTTCAGGAAGGCTGCAAGACAAACGAAGCATGCATCTCACATTTTACAGCTAGAAATAATCAAGATCTTATCTCTCTACTCATGACATAGGGCTCTGATGTGGACAGGGCCGGTTAATGTAAAAACTGAAGACCAGAGAATTTTCACTAAGGTAGTAAGGTCTCTGTATAAGCATATAAGATTTATGCTTTTTAAATTCCTAATTAATAAGGCAAAGCCATAATAGGCATGCAGTCACTTGAATTTCAAGCCTTTACACTCAGAATGGCATTTACTTAAAAGTTCTCAAGGTTCTCCCTTGAAATCTATTCACAACTCTAGCAAAACAACTAGCAACAGCTCACTCATTAAAGTGAGTTTTAAGAAAAGCCAGAATGCCATGCTAGTCTGAAATAACGAAGAAGTGCCTTTGAAACACTTGGCAGGACTCGTCTATTGGGAAGCAATGTGGAAGAGGTATGGGGTTCAGATCTGATGTTTACATTTGTGTGGGGATGAAAGGGGGATTTTTGTCCATCACATCAAAGACACCCTTTGTACAGGTACAAAGAGTTTGGAACAAATGTGACTCTTCATATCTGTATAAATAAAGCTATGCTTACACAATGGCCCAAGTCCATAATTAAGTGTCCTTCACTATAATTTTCTTAGTATAGCAGTGTTTCCTATGAACAGTTCTACTACCTTAATGTATTTTCTTTGACGCTTGCTAGTGAAAGATTTTCTTTGTATCATTTAACATTATCCTATTCCTTTTTATTGCTGCAAGACAAAACAAGAGTTACTTAGATATCCAAGATGGCTGTTCCACACCAATGAAGCAGTCATCTGAACTTTGTTAAGCTGTGACATAAGAATTACTTCTGCATAACAGAAACTGGCTGATGCTGGACGGAGCCTACCATTTCCCTGCAGGAGCCAGCAGAAGCAGCTGAACTGGTTTGTCAAGATAAAAGCTATGATAACCAGCAGGGACGTTGCCATTTCAGTCCGAACAGGGTTCCTGTGGCTGGAAGTGGGTTTAAGTGTCAGAACCATCATGAATCATTGCTATGCTTTCTGTGTGAAGTTATTCAGGTCGCAATTCTGTCAGGAAAAGTCTTCCCCTCTGGGAAGTGAAGCCAAGGTGCTCTCTTGAAGCCCCAGCTGCAGTTTCAGTTAAAGACCAGAAACACAGGAAGTCTTGAGATGAGCTCAGATATTTTAAAATGCAAGGAAGGGTGCAGCTAAAGCACATGGTACAGTCACCTATTTTCTGCTTGCATGTTTTCTAGCTGTGACTGCACATGCATATTCTTCACTGAAAGCTAAAATATTTAACATGCAAGTGCAATTTTTGTTCAACATGTAAGGAAAGAAACTGGTTTACTTCTGTTACAGTGAGACCACCTTAATATGGAGACAATAAGCTTAATATTCAAATATAAGAAGTGTTTGCTTGGCAGATGACCATTTTGCTGGTTTGATACACCTGTCACAATAAAAAAAAAAAAATAAAGTTTACAATATCTAGGTTGTTACACTGTCATTACCATATTGTCTGGGGTGATTGTAAGGGAGTGGTTTCATAAGCATGTCTGTCTTCTGCATCAAGACAATTTCCAGACAGAGAGAACTGTCTTGTGAATCATTCAACAGATGAGTCTTACCACAGTAATTTATTTCTTAAAAATCTAGTTTATTGCACTTGTCTCAAAGCACAAACAAAACAAAAAACCTAAATACAGAAATAAAAGTAAAAAAAAAAATCCTAATTTCATTAAAACTACCCTAAAAAGTAGTCTGATAAGAGCTCTTGACACCAATTTAGTATTAATCACCATAGCAAGGTACAGTATTATAATACAGTAAACAAACAACTAGCAAGCTCAAGCCATTACTAAGATGACTTTGAAAAATGTAATACAAAAGTGTCACTATTAAATACCATCATTGTACTTGAGCATCTGGTGCTTGGCAGGGCACAGAGAAATACTCATGTCCCTTCTCCAAAGTGATTGACTCACATCTGCCAAAAGATACTTTTAAGTTGAATTCCAGCTTCTTGGAGTTCCAAGATATCAAGCTATGCTTGCATAAAACAGACTCGGTTACTTCACAAGCTGATTCCATTACAATCCACTGCTGGACAGGCTAAAAAATTCCTATGGGGTAATCTCCATATACAGATGAGATAGCAATGAAGAAAACATAATTTGCAAAAGGGAAACAAATCTGTACTCCCTGTTAGACTGAAAGGTAAGACTGAGAACTGACAGCCAGTATCACAAGTACTACTAAAGCCAAACTGACATAACTTGGTTCTCTCCACGGATTCACATTCTCACCTTGCACCATGTTTGTTCCAAGTTTAGTGCAGTACATGCATGAACTATTCTGAAAGAGAAAAAGGTTAAAAAGAAAACGCATCGTTTTCTATATGTATTAAGTTCTCAAAACAGAAATGTCCCCACTTTTCAACACTCAGCCTTTTCTGAAACCGGCTCTTTTACAGTATCGGTTAGCAGCTGCTTAAAACATTCTGATGATTTACAAGCTTAGAACAAACACAAAATAACTCCTCCACCTACATACTGAACTCAGGTTCTCTCATCTATATTTCTATTGCTTAAAAAAGATGAGGTATCTTTCAAAGAAGATTTAGTTTAAAGAAAAATAAACTACAATGATTAACTTAGGTTATTTCCCAGTTCATCACATACCTCTGTTGCAACATCTGTCAAATATAAGACACTTCAAAATTTAGCTAACATAGCTAAAAATCAGAATATTGTTAAGTATTTTCTCACAATATCACAATTTTTAACGGGATATATAAGTAATTCTATCAATTACCATTTTGCCTTTTAATACATCTAAGTACAGTACTCAAAACAATTTGAGTCCAAATGTTAAAGCACTGGCTGGAGGCACAAATACAGCACAACAGGAATTGTGAAAGCTGCCTTATACGTTCCTGCTTTGTACTACAACCCAACACGCAACTTCTTCCTATTCCAAAGTGGGACTTACCCCCCACAATCTGTCAGCTTCCTGATGGCTATGAGAAATGGGCAAAAGTCCCCCTGATAATAGGTGTAATCCAAACTTCTCCCTTATGAATGACGTCAAATTATGAACCAAATTTCTACAAATGGAAGGTTAGTATACCCTTGCATATATTTATATGGAAATGGATCAAACCGAGTTCATTTCAACACCAATGCTATGTAATCATGATGTTCTGAGATCCTGCTACGAAATACTTTGCCACATTTTCTTCCATGCTGCAAGGGAAAATAATTCTAAATATATGTACAACAGTCAGGTAGCATTCCAATCAGTTTGGAGTTCCAAGTACAAGAAGAAATTGAGAAATGCTTAATGTTTCTGCTGTAGAGAAATATTTAATGAAACAGAATTTCTTCTCAAAAGACGTACACATGTATTAGTGTGCATGCTGTTGTGAAGTAGTCACTTTCATTGCTAGTAGGATTAACTTAAGAGTTATATTTCCAAAGGATGTTCTACAGTAGTATGGTACAACAATTGTGGTATGCCACACCTAAAGAGTCTCTCAAGAGATAAGGGAACAACCAAGAGAACTCACAGCCTGGGGCTATTAACCGATAAGTTTTTTTAATACAAAAGTGCTAATATCACAGGGTCCAATATGAGTGGCTTTTAGATCCAACATTCTGTACATACGTTATAGAAATTGTCCTCCTGGTTTGTTTTTTCTTCACTGCTTCATAAGCTTGAGAGACTTCATATCACTTCCCATTCATCTTCAAAATCATCAGGGTGAAGCAGAACAGAAGTGTCATTATTTTTCTGCAAACTATGGGAATGGCTAAAGGTCTTAGTGAGGCGCTGGAGAAGGGATCCTGAAGTACTGATTGCCCACAGTTCATCCAGAGATGTCACTGCAAAGCATAAATTACCCATCTTTTAATTAAGGTAGCAGGTTCCAATTATAAACATTAAATAAATAATATTTGAATCTGTTTTTCTAATAATACCCAGAGAAGATTTTTCCTAATGTGATAAAGAACCCTTGGTGAAACTCATGGTCAACAAAGCATTTAGAGTATGCAGCTCTCCCTGCACATCTGAGCACATCTCTCAGAGCACCAGCAGGCAGAAGTCAAAGCAGACAACACAATGTTTTGGACTGTCAGACAGAACCAACTTGCCTGTTAAACGTGAGACATTTCCAGGAATCTTCTTCCAGTAATCTCCTGCTGGATTCTTGTCAGTAATGCCGTATCGACGAGCTACATCTCCATTAGGACAGCGTGCCCAGACAGTCCTTGTACTTATGGCCAGCTGACAAGCCTGTAAACCTAAAGATAATTGAACATGAAGAGGGAATAATCACAGGCTTTCTTATATACTAAATACACTTGCAGAAAAGTTCATTAAGAGAAGATGGCAAGACTGTGACTGGTTTTATATATTCGTATATTAATAATAGAGAAGACCTCTCCATTATAAAAGGCATAAAGAAATACCTAGTTTTCCAGGAGTTTGTCTCAGAAATTATTGGCAAGGAGAAATTCAGGACTATATACTTCCTTAAACTGACTTTAGGGGAGTTGAACAGAGCAGATGCTACTGGAATCTGAGCTTCTGGACCTGTGTAAACTGAGTATCAGCTTACACGTAGGCCACTTGTAGCACATAAAGCATTGGCTAACAAAAAAACTTTTTAATTGCAGACTTTTTACTCACAGCATGTATTGACCATAAGGATATCACGTTGTGGATACATCTTGTTATGTGGCCACAAGCAACAACCAATTAGAGGACCTTTATAATATACTTTTGGAGATTCTGCTGTATTTTACTACCGCATAGGGAATAATCCAGCAGTTGCCTAAAAATGGTTAATGTTATAGACCTTGTGGACTTTTTCTTTCCTCTTCCCAAGAAAGCAAGTACTCTCCAACTATGTGGCATGCATTTATGCAGTGAAAGATTTTTAAAAAGCAGACAGCATCAACACACAGTTACTTAGAAAGAAACAAGTAAAATTTAGTCTTCTTTACAGGCAAGGCAAAAATGTAATTACCTAATCCAGAACACATCCAGCACACAGGACTGATAGAAAGATGTGCAAAATAGCATCAGGGTTTTTTTGTTAGCCCCATCTAGAAAGGAACCATACATCGTACCACATTCACAAATGTGAAACTTCCCACAGCATAGTACTCTCCTATTGCTTAGGAATACTGTTTTCTAACTGAAAGGGAACTGTACCATTTATTAATTCAGTGGCAGCAGCCTGAAATAACACACAACAGAAGTTCATAAACTTTTTCATAAACTATTTCAGTTAGCTACTGTTTTTAAGTAAAACCAAGGTCCCCAACAAAAGGACACTTATCAAATATTTTACTGTGTTCCTTCAAATAAGAACATTTGATAGCTGGAAAAAAAATATTTGATTTAGGAACTGCTATCCAATTTGAAAAGCAACAGGGAAAAAAAACCAAAACAACAACCACACAAACAAAAAAATCCCACAACAATGACAAAATGGCAGAAAGAACAAGGAACCAATGCATTGATTTTTACCTGGTACATGTTCCCAGTCAGTGCCTACAGGCATTTCATCTGTAATTCCAACTCGTACATGGACATTCCATTTGTTATCAATTGCCCACAACATCTGATCATTCGGACTTGAATGAATGCTGATCAGGTTGATCCCTACTGGCTATAAAAATTAAGCACAGTATTTAAACTTTGTACTACTCTTTGTACTATTCTAACACTTGTTCTTCACAGAAGTATGCAAGAGAAGTAAAATATTTACCAGATACTAAAGACAGGAAGAAATGTAACTGACAGTTTATCTGTCATTGTACAAAATTACCCATTTTCCAAAAAGTCAATCCCTTCCTAAATAGGAAAGAAACATGAATAAATGTCATCCAAAGTTACTAGTAAAGATAATGTTCAGCATCTGAGTATAATAATATTAGTATCTGCAGTCAGGTAGTTTCAATTGTAAGCTGAAGAGGAAACTCTTCCACTGAAATGCATAAAGTGCATTATTTTCCTCTTCCCAGAAGTTTTTCTAACATAACTCTGTATTTTATTTCTCAACATATATAAGCAGTAAATTTGTACAGTCTGAATGCCTTCTCTTCACAATGAAATGGCAAACTGCTTTCTTCCCTGTACTCCATTCTACAGGAATAAAACCATGGAACTCGCTGCAGACCACTGCAGTATGGGAACAGCCACACCTGCAGGAGAGTATCCACAACACTGTTGGTAAACTCAAGTGAAACACGCTTCCCATTTCCACTCTGTAGTCCTTGCTCTGTTTGCTTCCATAGAGATTTACCTTTACTACTGGTGAAAATCAGTGTTACTGAGCACATTTTACAGACATCATGACGATGACTTTGAGCAGAATATATCAGCCAACACATTTAGTGAATGGCAAATATCCTGCAAAATATATATTTTAAATAAAATGCTAATAAGAACACGAAAAAAAGCTTTTCTCCACATCAGCCTAATAAAGGCACTGAAGAAGACAGGAAGATGCCCTGAAATACATTATCACCTCATGAAGAAGCCCCGCATTTCTGGCCTCACAGAACTTTCACTGTGATAAATAGAAGAACAAGCAGCTCTTCACATGTATAAACCTAGGAATACAGAAACATAGTCTGCATGTATCTGTAAGGACCCAACCCAGTCCCAGATGGGCCTTTTGTGTACCTAACAGTTACCTGGTGGTTTTTGCTTTTAAAATTCTGGTGCTGACATGCGTCTGACTCAGCTATAACCAAGTTCAACTTGGTTCACCAAATCAATCCTGTCTATTCATGTCACAGGCCTTTGAGACTATCTTCTCATGTTTCTGTTCTCATTAGGTACTTGCCCTTCTCTGGAATCTTGGGGCTGGCAGAGGGTTGATGAAGTGTTTACCTCTGGTCACAGTACATTCGTAATAGCTGCAGTCTGAAAACTTACAGCATGCTTTAAGTATTCTATAATCTATATAACAAGAAACAAAACAGCTGCTGTTAAAGATTAGAGTTCTGTCATAGCAGAACTCTGTGCAAAATCTATAAATCTGCTGATAATATTTCAGAGACTGATATCCATGAAAATTAATGAATTATTTCAGTGTAGCCTTTTCTCATCTGGTTTAACTTCCAACAGCATTCATGAGATTTATATACCTTGACTATGGTATGTGTTGTATTTGTAATCTACTGTAGATTGTGGAATTTTAAGGAATCTGTCACCAGTCTCTCAGCCTTCCTCCTCAGATGCTGACACACCAAACTGTTTATAGGTTTATCCACAGTACTCATCACTGTGACAGACTGAAGAAGCATTAATGGATTTATTGTTATCTAATAAATAATGGTGGAACACTGCTTTCATTTGACTTGTGGTGCCAAAAATTTCTAAAATCAAAGTATCTCAAGAGACTGACTGCTTTAGCCAAGAACAGAACACAGATCCTCATGCCCACTGGTCTTGTACCTCAGCTACAACTCTGTCTTTTGAAACTGTAGATTTTCCATTAGAGCCATGGGCTGCAACACATACCAACTATGTACTTTTCAACATTTCAAAACTACATACTAACAGCTGTGAATATCTTTATTATCTGCTACAAGTTAAACCAATTCAAAATAATATGCTAGTATCCACATGTCTGATGAGAAAACAATGCTGATCAAATTAAGTAAACTTGAAGGAGGCACTTCAGTGACAAATTATTAAATAACAAGAAGAAATAGTATATATTTAAGCTATAAAGTTGTCCATTAGCTTTATAATTCTGTTCAAGTCATTTCTGTTCTTTCTGCAAACCATGGAGAAATAAGCTTCAGTCTAAGAACTTCATTTAAACAATAGCAAATAAAACCCAAAGTAAAAGCTAAGGTGTTCACCCCTGCACCTCCCCTGCCCTACTACTCAAAAGTTTTGTCTTACCATAACTACTCCAAACCACAGCTGAACCCAAAACACAATGGTTCAACTTCTTTGTCAAGGAGGAAAGACAAACACATGCACACCAAGAGGCCATCGGAACATTTTCTACATCACTTTTCAGGAGCACAGAGTCCATATAATCAGCAGACCTCCACCATCTCCATTCTGCTGCAAATATCCAGGATAAGGAAGCCTAAACAGAACATTCCCAGTCTGCCAAAGCCCAGTCCTTCTTGTAATAGGTTGGTAGCTACATGCAGCACAAATATTCTCCTCACCTTCAAAAGACAAACTCAACAACTTCAGCTGGTCCAGGCCAGGCTGTAAGAAGGTCATATCAGACATACTTCTCACAATGTTGAGCATTCTCTGTGTATCAGACTAACTTGACTATTTTCATGGCTAACACACATCCAGACCTATTAACTAGAGTAACAAAGAATGCCACGTTGCTTAATAGAGGCCTAACTATTTGTATATTATTTTCTGAGCTCCATTTGAATGAAGGTTGTGAAGCAACAAGAGATATCAAGAAACCACGAGCAACATATCGACTAGAATGAGCAGTACTGGCTAGAATGTTTTACATTCAGACTTTGAGTAGAACAGCTTGGTAAATTAAGTGGCCCTTTTTTCTCTGCAGAGAAGTTGAAGGCAATACACAGGAGCAGGAAAGACGAATCTATGTTTAGTCTTCCTAGAAGCTACATGTTCTTCAGTAACGCTTTCACTGAGTAGTCAGAAAAAGGTTATTACTTACTGACTGAAAAACTGGAGCACTACTTTTCTCAGAAGCCTTAAAATGACATGACCCTTTCCCCCACTTTTGCCTTTAGTGAATAAATAGGCAAGGGCCTTAGTTGGGTATCTTTAGTATACAGGTAGCACAATCAGGAAACAAAAGGCAAAGCCGAGGAGACAATTCTTTGACCTCTCCTTTGTCAACTCTAAATTTTTCATTCCAAGGGTTTTTATTGCAGAAACATGGTAAAGACTACAACATACAGTATCAAATACTAGAAAAGGTCATACCAAACCCATGTGACCATGCAACATTATAAAGCTCAACAGAATCATAAAATACTTTCAAAATATTTAGTACAACTGTTCCTTAGAAGAAATGAAAAAGAAAAAATAAAAAGTAGTAATGCAATCACTTTAAAGGTCATACGAACTACAGGCCTGCTCAGGTGCGCCCAACTTAATTCTGGTCACACTGTCTTATACCTAAGATTATGAACTGTAGTTTAGGAGATAAGCTGTAATTACCACTGCATGTAATTTTAATAACATACTGAAAAAAATGAACTACTGCAACAAGAATAACTAAGCTTTTATAGAAATTAAGTAAACACTATGTGCAACAAATTCCCATGAAGCTGAACATAATTTAGCGCGAGGTAATAAAAAACTTGGTTACTCAGAGCTTTGCCTAGACAAGGCATTTGCTTTGTTTCCTAAAAACACAACTTTAATGAGCATCAGTAAAACACCCTCTCATGCAGTCTATGCCAGTAAAGTGCACCTCTCTAGTTTCTGAAACTGAAATACTCAAACCATGGGAAGAAAAGCATTTTTGTAAGTTAAAACACCCACGTTTTTAACTTCAGTCTCAGGGTACAATTACTACTGATCTAGTCATACTCATCCAGTGCTAAAGCTGTAGGCTAAGTACTGTCCCAGGTAAAGCATGGGCCCCAAATACAAGGCTATGCAATGTGTTAAACTACTGGATAAAAACAACAGCACTAGAGGGGTCAGATATCAGAAATGAAGTCACTGCCTCCCAGACAGATGAACTCTTTACTAGGTTACACACAGTCCAACCCCTTCTGCCTTGCTTAATTCTTAGCCTCATTAAATTTGGGTTCAGCAGACAGGGCCTTCCTACAAAACAACTATTTCACAGATCTACAGCATGGGCCATCCAAACATGAGAGACCCCACAAGCCAGCCCCCCAGCTCCCAGGGAAGGCAGCCGATTGCTTGGCTGGTCTGCAAATAGAGGCTGTTGGCAACTCATCTGCTTACCATAAAATGGGGAGACAGTAATACACTATGGGGAGAGACCTCCAAGTCCAGCAGCCTTCCCAGGGTGTCTCCTTACTTTGTGTGGATTTGTTAGCTCACTGAAGCTCTCTTTATCGACCATACACTCTGAGCTTAGCACGTATCTTTGCGGCCCCAGTTTACTTCACAAAAGCTAACCCCTAATTACAAACCTGTCAACAAGATCCAGCCCCTCCACAGCTTTAAAATCAAGCAAGCTGAAGATTAGTCACAAAAAAAAACAAACAATAAAAGCTGCTCTAACCAGAATTCAGAAAATGCAGAATTTAATGAAAATGAAACAAAACAAAAATTCCCCCAAACTCTTAGTTTATAATAGCATAAGTAATTATTTTTTACGAAAGTCTCAAAGTCACAGTTCAAGTATTCCTATTAATTACATACTTCAGGCTAGCACTTCCTACAAACACATGAACAGTTCCATGGAAATCAAAGCACATGCTTGCTAAATCAAGACACATACCCTTTATCCATGAATTTTTTTCACTATTACATTTTTATTTTCTAAATAGAATAATTCTGGAAAACTCGCAAAACTCAATTGTAGTTACTTTATTTACCCAACTAATGTTCAGTATATTTCTTAATTGGCTCCCAAAAATAATTAAATATGAAATTCTGTGCTAGCTAACCAAAATACAGGCACATTGGAAGAGTACAGATATGAGACTGCTTCTA